AACCTAAACAGTGTTTTATTCTTATTCAGGGGTGATGAATATTATTGGTACAGAGTCTATTTGTACTAATCATGTTCCAAATAAAGGCTAATTTGCTACTTATATATCAAAATTAAAACTTTGTTTCCGGTTGACAGCAAAATCAAAAATATGGCAATAATAGAGTTGCGACGGTACGCGGTGGCACCAACCACGAAGTTCTCAACTCTAAACTTGGAACTGCTTCATTATGTATACGTTGCGGACCCACTATTTTTCCACGGATTTCTAATTAGGCAGCGCTACGTGTTGGCAGCTTATCCGACCAATTAGCATAGCAAACGAAGGTGCTTACCGGCATCGTAGTAGACTGGTACTTCGGTAGTCAGCATGGCCTCATTATAACCGGGTCGCATGAAGCACCGCGCCGCAGATGGTTCCCGAATATTTGCCCCGCTGTTCTCTGCACGTATTTCATCCACTAGAACACAATCAGCTGCAACATCGCTGTCGATTTATGCCCCTCATTGTGTTTGAATGTTCAAAATTGTTTATTGTAGCTCTGGAATACTCGTGTCCGGAGCCAGAGAACATAATGGAAGTACCGTACAGTCGTATTACTTTTCTAAAGAATGCTATAAGAATGTTTAACAATAAGAGAAATTATTCAAAGGTCGTTTACAAATAATATCATTCATTGTGTTGTCGTAGCTATCATTTTATCCCAGTATTTTTGCTCCGAATCCGATTTTAAGAAACGCCTACCTTTCCGCTGTACCTAAATCAAGTTAATTGTGTCTTAAACTTAATCCAATCTGGCCAAAATGTAATACATGCGTAACTTTTATTGGGGTCTATTTCCAAGAAATAAATTCAATTGTAAACACAAATTTATTACGAGCCCACACAAGAATGATAGGCAAAGTTAATTGAATTTATTTGAAATTACTCTTTTCCAGTCCTGAGCTAATATTTATAGTGGGCGATATTGCTTTTCGCATAATCGGCGGTGCATGTATCATTCGTAGGTCTATTATTAAGCCCCGATCGATAGCAGTCATGTTTCGGCGGTGGGCGTTTAAATACTCGCTCGAATTCCTATCTAGATTTTATTTTTCGAGTGAGGCACACAATCCTTGCATGCCTGGCGAGTGCCGATATTGTGCGCCGGAGTTATATTGCCTGTGAAGTTTGATTGCAAAATGTGATTGGAATATTGATGTGAATCTTTTTTTATACGTTTCCAATGTTGTTTGTGTATAATATACCTATCCTAAAATTGAACTGATATCTTTAGGGGTAACCAATGAACTAAACCCATAAGACCAGACAGTTCTTACTGGAAAAAAGGGTTACATATATACATCAAGAGTAGAAGGGAAAACTCAACTCGCTAAAACCATAAGTGTTACGACTCTATAAGCTTTGTATGACATTTATTAAAATTTTTATTTAAGTACCTACTATTTACTTCGTTTTAGACTCCTAATTCAGTACCTCATTCAAAGGCAAATATCACAAGTTACTTGCCTTCGCTTCTCTTTTACGCAGCGCAAAAACCTAATCAAGATTGAAACTAATTATCTACTTCATGTTGAAGTTTTCAACAAGAAACCCTTAATCGAAGCTTGAAATAACACCGAAACGTTGAATAATCAATAGTTTTAGGTGCACAACTAATAGCTGATAGCGTTGGAACACCTATTTTGAGCAAACTAGGAGTATTTTCCAATTAAAGTTTTCCCATGAAGTTTGTTCGTAGTACGTGACGCAGAACGAAGTGGTGTCGCAGATGTCGATAGATAATGTGCCTACTAGACATTTTGTAACTGTTTAGAACTTAACGAATTCGTGAAATTACTTTGTTTTTCAAGTTCTCAAATGTTTTATTCATCCTGTACGTGAAGGAATTCTAAGTTAGAAAGTGAAGGTATGAAAAAGAAGAAAAATATTTTCCAGTATTAGGTGCTGAAGTAAATTTAAGTAACGCAGCCTCTATATTTCACTTTGAGTCTTATCGTTGTTGTTTTGGTGCCTTGTACAGGAACTGTTAATTAACTCCCTGGACCGAGGCTTTTTCCTTTCCCGTTTAAAATTGCCTCTTTCTCATTTCCTCGATCAATAGAGCGAGTGTACGTTACATCACGGCGTTGGCAATATTAGTGCGGGCTCGGTGCAATATCTTTAAATGAAAGCTTCAGCTAAAGGCGGCGGTGCCTTGGAAACTACCGCAACAACAAATTATTGGCGTCGAGTATCCGGGACGCAGCCAATATCATATTTTAAAATTATATTTAATGAAACCTGAGTTTTCGATTTGAGAGAACCCATGATGAAACTGTAGATAAAAAGTTATTACATTATTCTTGCGCTCACTTGAACGGGTTTGATGACTTTCGTAACTTGCTAATCGCGTGGTCTAGGTTACTTTCATCAGTATATCAGCGCAATATCCTATGCACACTATGTGTGTCATGTACTGGTATATTTTGAGTGACGAAACAGTCATATAAGCAAAATTGTCCAGCAGGCGCTCCCCTACGCTTTGACGTAACTATGCAAACATCAATTACTATATTTTATAACCATTCCGGTCACACACGGCCGCCACAAAACCGCACAACGGCACAATTTATGAAATTGTTTATCACTAAGTTTCTGTAAAAATATTACTGAACTGAATTCCTGTCAAATAAACTGAACAGGGGTGTGGTTCCTGTGGGAGAAGCCCTTCGAAACTATTTTATTTAGTTTTCGTCGAATTCTAGGAACGAGTGAACGTCCGAACGTATCATTTAGCCACATACCTACTATTATGTTACCACATACTTGCTTCCATACAAACAAGGTTTGGCCTTTGATTCTAGTTTCTCCATTGTGGTTTTTTCCGTAGCAGCATGGGTGTTACGAATAGTCCTTACCCCACATATATGTACATGGCTAGCGGCGCCCCATATAACATGGGATTCATAGATAACATGACTAGCAAAAAGTGAAAAGTAGACCATACGCGTATACCATACAATAATGGAGGGTTTTATATTCAAATAGAAATTTTAATATAATAAAGCTTTTTAAATCGCTATCAGAAACCACTTTAGAACATACCCTGTAAGCCTGGGTAATGTACATGTGTCCCTTTTGTAAACATCCGGCAAGGGCAATGTATCATGTCGTGGGAAGCACTTTCTGAACATTAGGAGATTACTTAAGAGATTACTAATTAAGCTAATATCTGTATCAATATACAAAAGGAAGGGTGGGTTTGTATTATGTTTTGTATTTAACTACCACAACTTAATACCCAGTGTGTATATAAATAACCATGTAGATTGTGGTGCTTAAGCAATTTCTAAGCAAAAACACAAATTCCATTACAAACTTGATATCTATTTGTAGTGACGTTAGCAGGCTTTTAACGACGTTGTAAAGAAAAACTCCGTCTTCTGAGGAAACATACGTTCGTCGCATATCAAGTCAACGGCCTCATGAAACTGTTCAATACCACATTATATAGAGTGATAAAAATTCCGCTTTCGTGTGTCGGTATCGATTATAGCAAAACACATTAGCGCGATAGTATCAAAACACTTGTCGGCTCGTGTCGCCACTCTCCGGAATGGAGGAACGACAGCCGCGCCCCCGGGGACCTACACACATGATACACCCCGCGTGTGATCATCATTATACAACCATTACTTGTATCAACATTTTGCACGCACAAACTGAACTTTTAAAACAATACCTCGTCCACAATGGAAGCGGCGCGCAAACATTAATGTACACAACGAAACATAAATTGTTTTTTAAATTAAAAAGTACAATACCTAGTCGCTAAGTGAAAAATACAAAGCTATAAACACAACAGAAATACCTGCTACTGAATTCCAAACATAATTTGTATAAATGCCGTATTTTCACAAAAGTTGAGTCGCGCTTGCAATTCAAACGAGAAAAACTGTTTTGTATTGTTTGCGTTTCTGTATTAGCGTGGAAGCCAGTCGACGTTTATTCTATTTACGAGCTACCCGTTGCCATGATCAAAGTTGTAGTTGAATCCTGTCGTCTGTCGGGCATCGGGCAGGCTCTGTGAATAGATCGGCTAAATACGTGCACCGGCCGCCGGCCCGCGGACTACGAAGCCTCCATTTGCATAATGGACGCCGACAACGCCCTTCATACGAAACTTGCAAAGCAACCGACAAATCGAACCGTTTCGTGTGAAACAAAGTAGCGCCTTTGTGGAACTATTTCACTTTTTACAAACACAACGCGAAAATGTTACTTTTATTTTATACGAGGGCGACTGAAAGACATGAAAGCTGGTCGACCGTTTGTCGAGTCACGCAACGGATTGAGCGATTTTGAATTAACCCACTTTCAAAAGTTCATATCGCCCTTTGACTTTGTAGGTACGTTTACGACATGACTTGTATGCCTACTGGATATACAATATTTATTTATTTATGTTAACGGCTACACAGTAACAGTTCCGCATGTGCGTGAAATATTTCGAAACGCATTGTTTAGTTTAGTGGGCGCTAAGTGTTGACATGAACTGGATTACTGGAATAACAAACAAGGCCCCCGGTCTACTGAAATATTGTACCGACTATGTGAAGTTTAAAATAAAAATTGATAACTAATATAAATATATCGATATTATCGCGGTGTTTGTTTTAGCCGGAAGCTACTTTCGTCGACATACCTACCTTATATCGGAAATTTCTTTGACCGAAGAATTTCTTAATGAAACGATAAATTCCGTGCTGATCAAAGTAATGTTACTCAGAGAGAGATTTATGGAATCCAATTATTTATCTAAGAACAAGTTTTAATGAAATTAGTATTTGTATCTGCTGAGCAGGGACTAGTAGGTATATCAAATCTTAATTAGGTACACTTAATATTATCAAATAAATGTTGATAATAAAATGTTGTTTGTGATATTTAATATTATTTAGCTAAATGTCACTGTAGTTGTTTACCTATATTTATAAAATGTTCATTTGTTTCAGGTAATGGACCCTTCGTTACCGAAGTTTCTCTTCTGCACCCGAGGTTTGAAACAACTACCTACACACATACGTGACGGTCTCTTTGCTCAATATTTCTTTGTGGATGCCAATCAAATTTCACGCTTGTCGAGGTCTCATCCCGACAGCATTTCTTTGTCGTTCGAAGCCACGGAGACGATCGTCTTCAGTTTTTATCGCGTTCTCTCTCGTGCTCCTCTCGTCATTTGCGAACCCCTTAAGCGGCCCGGTGTCGACAATGGACTTTTTATCGGCGTACCGCCTTTACTGTCGTGCACATACGCATCGTTTGCCGGTCATAAAGTTCCGAGCGACGCGGCTTGTCTACCGAGCCGTGGAATTTTGCTGCTCTCATGATGTTCCTACGGTCGTTTGTTCACAGCATATGACTCTTGAATTTTAACCAATTTTTACATAATGTGATATCGTACGATGTGCGAAATGGAAACGCGGTTTTGTAAAATTGAATAGAAACCTCACACGCACTCGAGGGAAGGCTTCATTCAATTTGTTACTCGAGTCTACATATCTAATCAAATGCTTGTAAACGGTATCTTCAGTACAAAATTTTCGTGAAACTCATTCATTTACAAAGATTCTTTTGAGTTCCGAAGAGTTTTTGTAAGTAAGTTCAGATAAATGAGAAGACTTGTGCAAGAGTTGAAGATAAAAAATAATTTAGTAGGATCGTCGTGGAGGACGTTATCTGTAGCGGGTGCGCGTGGCGGGCGCGGCGCTCGGGTTGCGTGTGTTTACCCGCGCGCCCTCACAAAGCAACCCAATATATCAAGTTGTCGGCTCGACTTTACCGAGAGCCGCAAGATGTTGCTACACGAGCCGCTGTTTGTCAAGTTGCGCTACGCGACGCCCTAACCATTATACACTGCATTGTTCGTCTGAAAACCGAATAGAACAGGCAAACATTATTCAAACACTACTACATTTTCAATTTATCGTATCTTGTACTCATAGATATAAAGATAAAGTGATATATTCTTATAAATAACATACTAGCTTACTGTTTCTATAAGAACTTAATACGGTTGCCCGCATCACCAGTATTTCGTTCGGAGTGGAAATGAAATGAAAGTGTACAAATCACGCGTGAAATTGAGTTCGGCCCGTTGCTGAAGTCATTGTTCGCTTCGGAAACTGGCTGCCACTCCAACGACCGACATATCGGCACAGGACCGCCGGCAGCTCACGAAGTCTACTACGTTTTTCCGACCGTAACATGTTTTCCAAACCCATTTAGATTTCAAGCACACGTCTAGACATTGTTCAAATAATTTAGGTACACACTTGATATCGGATTCCAGTAAGCAAACTGTGTCGAGATAATTATTTAAAAAAGGTTCCGGACGTGTCGAGTTTCCTTGACACACTTGGATTGTGCAAAAAAGCTTGAAAGGATACATAATTCAAAAGTTAGGATTCTGGAGCAGTCGGTGGGCGGGCCTGGTTGTGTACAAAGTTTCATGTTTTCAGCCCGGACGGCGCCCTCGGGAATCATTTATCTGCCAACGCAAAGGAAGATATAATTAATTGAAATTATGCTGTCAAGCTCATGTAATTTGCACGTCTCCTAAATCTGGATTGTTTTCATGATACACCATAGTTCTAAACTTTGCTACGTGCGGAGAAACGTAGCACTTTGCTGCGACGACTAGGGGTAACGAGACTAGTTTGCTGAATGCAATATGTGACGCTGAATCTTTGTGACAAAAGGTGTGGTTCGTGAAATCTGTGAGTCTGTGAGTTTAAAGCTTCGTACTTAACTGTACTTACATAACATTAGCATCAACGAGATTGCATTCCTGGTGTAAATGGAGGCAATATCGAAGTGGCGGTGGGTCGTTGTGCAGCCGCGCTTCCTCAGGGCGCCGGGTCATTTCCATATTATTCGTGACACGTCCGGTTATGTAAATGGCTCCCGTGCCGAGTACCGACTCCGCGTCGAGCTCGCACCCGCTGCTAGTTCGCACGCTCCGCAGTCGAGCAGCGAGCACGTTCGATCCACCTATCACTTCATTTATCCTGTCAAGTCTCCTAAATATTCCTTTTCATCCACACGCTTTATTAATAACACAATATCCGACTGCGTATTTCCAAAATGGAAGCCCGCAGCTTTAAACATAACATACGTTAAGCAAATTAGTGTCAATTTATCGTAGTTTCGAATTAATACAATTTGTCTGACTAGCGTAGCCCGATACTTTATTCGTCTGGTACAAAGTTAATGTAGTTTCAATAGTAGTATATATCTCTAAATTAGGCTACAAAATTCACCAGCTGGGCCAAGGACTGTCTATCTGATTAAGTCGGGAACAACTTCGTCACTACAATTTTAATATTATGGCTATCCACCCGTCTGCGGTTTGGACTCTCAATCCATAAAACCTCCAATTAAACCCATTACAGCGTTAAATTAAAACAGAACAATTGTGTATCAATCTGGTAGTCTGTGGGTCAATTATGATAATCATATGTACTTATATGTTCAGCATAAACACGTATTAATAACTGTGATGTGAATGAAGTTTTAATTATGTAATTAGTCGGGGGCATGGTTACGACACTAGACAGTGGGACACCGGCGTCGTGGCCATTCATCGTGTTATTATTTAGATAATAATACGTCGTGGACACGCATTGCTCATTACTACCACTACGTTGTAAGTAGTATTCGTCCATTGAATTTTAATTACAGACCCACCGACTTACTTTGTATTAAAACTGTAATCATAGCGTACGACCTGGTATAGAAAAATATTATGTTAAAATGTTAACGGGTCATTGTACCGACCTTTACGGATATTTTTTGCTGTAGGGGGATAGTGCCAAAAAAAGTCGCCCCATATTTATCTCTCGAGCTGGTTATTTTTTTGCACGTTACAGTAAAAGTTTACTGTTACACACAGATTCGATGTACCCTTGATATATTTGACACCTATGAGTCACACATATCTTTTTGGTCGATTTATTCAACAGTAGATTCCCATTAAGTTTTATAGCCTCATGGACAAATAAGCCCTAAAGAAACATTCACAACTACCCGGTATCTGCTACTGCAAGCCTGCATATCTTCCGACCGATAAAGCACCCCAGTTTTATTGCACAGTAGGGTCTCTGTTTGCACAGACAGGAGTCTGGAGACAGACGAAAAGGATTATGGCTCAAATTGGTACAAGAATTTTCGTTAATAGAAGTTCCAAGACTTAGTTTTGAAGTACTATAATCCTAAGTTCAGAGAATACTAGAGTAGTAAAGAGTTAGAATTCGAGTATCTTACGAATATTCGGAGTGTAATTTAAAAGTGGTAGGTAATGTACAAGTAACAAGTAATTTTAGACCATATCTGAGGTGTATTTAAATAACGAAATACATCTAAAAGCTAAGTAAACGAACTTATGCCTTCAATCGATTCCAGTAATTACTCCACAGACATTCGAAGCTCACTTCTCACCACCCTGGCTGTACGCAATTTGTAATCTTCAGTCACAAACATTAGGTACCTTTTGTGCTAGCTAAACTATCGCACTTGCGTCGTTTAATCATTAGCACGATCGAGTACCTGCTAGTTAATTAACTCGCAACTGGGCTTTCAGCGGTAACAAATCCATACGGTAATACCTTTTACTACAAGTTGGGTTCACCATAATACCTTTATCCGAATTCCACGTCCGTTTAATCAACTTGAATTGATATTACAAAAGAAATGGGAGAAATGCTACCTTTCGAACCGAGAGCTGCAATTCTACTACTGAGGAGGTGCCTATTTACTTTGATCTATCTGGTAGATGGATAGACTTACTTGAAGTGTCATTTAGTCTTTGAGTAAATTCGACTGTAAAGCACATTTCTTGCTTTTGATTCCCGGATAAAAAATCTTTTATGTTTTATTTTTCTTAATAGGTACATCAAAGGACTGCCAGGGAGTCTACCTCTATGTTCTTTTGTTGATATCAGAACTTTTTACACTGGAATTTCTTTCTGCCGATTGATTATGGAAAATAAACTATGTGAGCGTAAGTATTACATAACAGTGACCACTGGCTAATGTGACGTAGCGTAATACGGTCACATTGTCGAATATTTTACAATAAACTTAATTGGCTTTAAATGTTTGGCACTTGAACACTAATTGACATTTATGGTAAATTACATCCAACGTGATTGTGTTTCAACCATATAATCAGTAAATTATTCATTTTATACTATACTATATTGAATAAATTAACCCTTTGAGTACCGTCATTATAGACACAATTAAAGTACAATATGTTGCGGTCACCGGTGTCCTCGCGGTGTTTGACGGTTTAAATACCTAAGTATATTATTTATTTTACACATATGTAGGTATAGTGTTTCATACATACATAGGTGAAGCTCCACCTAAAGTTAGTAAAGAATCGAACTCAAAAGCCTCTCACAATCAAAGAACCAGTCTAAAACACAGAAAATAATACTCTATTTCCTTCACTGATTCCATTCCTTTGAGGCATGATAGCACGCTTCTTTTAACAATTAGAGCATTGGCATCGTCTCGAGTATGTACAAGAGATGGTAGGAATTTCTCGAGAGCAAATAAAAGGTCCCTCTGGAGTCTCTAGACTGTCGGGCCCAGCAAAGCGAGGTTCCCGTTTACCTCGGCATCTCTAATGCGCACTCACTTTAATTAAATTACTGATCGAGAAGTGCAGTGGAGTCCTCAAAGAGTTGCAGATGCATCGTGATCACGAACATCAATTTACACAGGCTCTTTAAAAATTTTCGCTCTTGTGCAAAGCTTCATGTATATAGATAGTAGTGCTACTACCGTACCGTACCGTACTTTTGAACTACATAGTTCAAAAGTACGGTGTTTGGTGCCAGGGTTTAGCCGTGAAACAGTTTGTTGCTTACTTGTCGATGGAAATCTCTAACATCACCTATATCTTTTCTATTTATCAGATAATCGTATTGCTGATTTATCACAAATTTTCATAAAATGTATTACATATTCATAATAAGTATTACATATGTATTACATATTATGAATACATTATAACATTACATACATGTTTTTGATAATGAGTTAGGATTTTGAAATAAGAAGTTGCTAAATTAAAATCGAAGATATAACGCTTACAAACAATTTTGAATTTTTTATCATCTCCTTCGACAGCAAAACGTCTCGCAATATTCTAAATATACTTATATTATGAACTACAATAATCGACAAGCGTGATTCTCAAAATCATTGAAACTAATAAATTAATTAATTCTGATTCGGAGTCATGACAGCAATGAGCCAAAAACGAAATATCTCTAGTACCTACTTGAATGGCGGAGACAACTCTTCAGAGCGAGGGAAC